GTGTGTGTGTGTGTGTGTGTTGCAGGGTAAAAATAGCAGTTTGTGTTTGCACTGTTCAGATCTCCATGACAGTTATTCTCCTGCTGCACCACAGCACTGAATATATATTTTACCCACACTGAAAATTGCATGTAATTCATGCTCTAATTACTTTGAAGAAACGACCGATCTGTTTTTGAAAATAAAGATTTCTTTACTAGGGACCAATGGGCTTGTGACGGGGAAGGTAAACAATATCTGTCTGGTTCTCAAAACATTGGGGTGTTTGTATTTTTTCAAATTAACATATTTCAGTGTTGTGCAGGGCTGTGCAGTTAATTGATGTCCACTTACGACAAACTGTGCGCTTCTCTGCAGCTCCAGGACCTGAGCTGTGTGCTGCTGGATCATGAGCAGCTCCTGTTGCCGCAGCATCTGGTGCTGGGAGAGGAGCTGGAGCTGGGCCGCGTGCTGCAGCGAGCTGCCCGTACCGTACACCCCCGACCACACCGGGGCTCCACGCTCCAGTACATCGCCTCCTGCAGATCAGTGAAGGGAGGCGTGAGGAAGACGGTAAATGTACTAATTTATTTTGCTAAAATGTATAAATAGTATTTTTATAAGTAACAAAATAGGCAAAACAACATCTTGCTCACTGTGATTTGAGATGCAGCACTTGCATACAAACAAACACCCACATAGAGAGCGGCCTTCATACCGTAGTGTTGCAGGTGCTCAGTAGGAATGACTATTAGCTGTCCAGACTGTGGGTCCCTGGCAAACTGGTACGATGGAGGTAAGGAGCCTGGCAGAGAGGGTGGGTAACCTGGAGGGAGAGTCTGGTGGAGTGAGGAGGGACCGAGGCCTGGGGAGGAAAATAATATGGATGAATATGGAGAGAAAAGTCAAGATTAACTCAGAACCTTAGGGAGCTCTGTGTGCATGTGAGTGTTTGTGCCCGTGCGTCTCCCTGTTTTCAGATGGTATGTTGAAGTATTTGAGTATACGTGTCCTGATGCTGTTATTCCTGGACAGGGAGCGACAGAGAAGGAGTAGGAGGAGGTCTGGAATGTCCTGCAAAGATCAGGAATGTCTGTGGTGCTTGACCCCTGGAGGCTGTTGCTAGACGGCCACTCGTCAGACACCTCCCTGTTCGGCTGCACCAATCAGAACAGGGCTCCGAAGACGCAAGCGTGCCATGTGTTGGTGTTGGGCGGATTTACACTCTGTCTTTAGCACCAGGGTGGACGACTCTGATGACACTCACACCTTCTGAAGAGGCCATATTGAAACCTACTGTACTGCTAATGCTCAGACAGTCTACAACAGACCCTTTGTCTCCAAGAAAAGAAACTCATGTCGAAACTCCTGATTAAATTAAAAATTAAATGACGATAAGTTGAAATGGAATGTTAAGTGCTACTTTTGAGAACATCTACACATGTGCTTGTAGCAGATGGCAAGTGTCCTCAGTCACGTCAGGCACATCATATACATACTGTATGGGGAGCTGGAGAGCCAGACTGGGGGGGCTCCTGGCCGGGGCATCCACGGGTGGGAGGTCAGAGTCGAGTGGTCTGGAGGCCAACGCCCTGCCCCTGTCAGGGCGGCCCCTCCTGTCACCATAAGGTTGGGGTTCATGAGGCTGGGTGCCATCATACTGGGCGTCAGGCCGCCAGACAAAGGAGGAGGATGCATCTGAGTAAACTCCGCCAGCTCTTTGGACTCTCTGAAAGGAAACGTGACACAGTATTACTAAACGCGTGCTCAGAAGTAGATTTTGATGACGTCATCACTTTGTCACATCAGTCACAGCCGCTCACCTGAGCACTTTCTCCTGCTCACGCTCCAGTCGGCCGGCCAGCAGTCTCTCTTCGTGGTGACGAGCGCGCTCCTCCCCTCGCTCCTCATCTACGACGGGTTCAGGCACAGGGGAAGCGAGAATGATTAGACAGGGTTGTTTAGTGACTGTTGGAGGGATTCCTATATTTACTGTGTGACTTACACTTATTACACTGGGTGACTTTATGTCCCTAAGTTTGCTGACACAGCCCCACTGGCTGGAAGGCTGGCTGGTTAGAATTCTCCTCCCCACATAAAACCATGTTATTTGTTATTCTCATTATTTGTTATCTGCACATAAAAGTCCTTATTTGTTATCTGTGGTGGCCAAGGCCAGACTGAGATGGACCATGGGAAGATTGGAGTTTGAGAAGCTGGGACTTTACCTTTCTTCACTCTCTCACCTCAGTGTGTCACCTGACACAGATCGATGTGCAAACGTAACGTAGAGTAAATGTTGTGGGAGTGATTTAGACAGAATTTGGCGCTCACGCATGCAAAGGAGCAGCATGAGGGGCAGAGCTAAAGCTGGGGCACAAGAAATCTAAGCACAAGCTGGTTGTATCTGAGAGCGAGCGCAGGCTTTTAAATGAGAGCATTACAAAATCGGAACATGAGATCAATAAGTCCTGCTCTCAAACTGAAAGACCAGGCTACTATTCAGCAATAATTTGCATCACAAGTGCTGCATCACCGAGATTATCCACATGTATTATATAATACACATGCAGTCTCGGTAATGGTGAAACGACACGTTAAAAACAAGAGCGGTTAGAAATCAGATGTTTGGCTGCAGCCTGG